AAAATAAAATTTACTTAGTAAACAAATTTCATTCACTTTTAAGTATAAATATATTTGGTTATACAGGGTGCGCCATCTTTTATTTCGGTATGTCCACATATTTAATCGTAGAAGGTCAACTCAAAAAGAATTATTTTCTCTGCATGCTGCTGTTTTTTTTACTGCTGCTTAGTTTCGAGTCCGTTTGAGACTCCCAGCATTATACTCTAATTTTATATTCCATATATAATTGGTATACATTTTTTAAAGTGAATATTTGGTCAAAGTTAATATTTTAAATCCAGTATTAATCTTCGGTTCAGCCTTATGCCTAATGCTTTTTCAAAGCAGTAGCTTTCTACATGGCTTCATGACCTAAACCCCCCCTCGAAACATTTCAGTGATTGGCAGTGAAATCGGTTTGATGGATTATCAGGCAATAGCGTTGACTAACGTCAACCTCACAACCTCGTTTGTGATAAGAAACACTTGAAGCACGTGTAGTCATAAATTTGAAATGCGGCCGAGAACTGAGAATAAAAAACAGAAATGTGTTTTTAAAAATGTGACTGTGGTTGGCGTTGTTGGCAAGTGTCAAGCATTAGCCATCAGACAAGCACCCATCAGAGTGAGACTTATCATTTGCTCATAAAAATGTCAAAACTATCGCACAGACATTGACTGATGACGACGACGACAGCGACGACGACCGCAATACGCTTGACATTCGCAGGAGAGTAATGGAAGGATGCCCATGCTAAATGCTTTTTTCTTCGGCTCCTCACAATTCTCCACATGTCACACATTCGCACATTCCCCCCCAAACACACACTCTCTGAGAGACTTACAATGGTGCTCCATCGCTTATTCAGCACGCAATGACATCGATGTTGAGTGATTTCATTTTTTTGAACTGCAATGCTGAAGGCAGGCAGCCTCTCGTCTAACCTAGCCATCATCATCATTCTACCAGCCAGCCATACAGTCATCCATCAGTTTAGTGAGTCAGAGTGAATCGCTCTTGGAACCATCATCAGAATACCCATCATTCCGAGCTTCTCGGCTGCTGCTGCTGCTTGTTGGCATGATTCATGGCTTCGATTGAATTTTGATTGACAATATCGCAAGCATTTAAAGTGTCTGTTTCCGCTTCCGTTCTGCTCCGCTCTCTATGAATTTTTTCCTTCGCCTTTCATGTGCCTTCTACCATTCTGCATCTACTCTGCTTTCTCCTTCCCCTAAGTTACTCTGAGTCCCACAGAGTTGTTCGACTTGATGCCTTGGCTAAGTGATGCAGCTTTTCAAAGTGATTTTAAAATCATTTGTCATCTGACAGATGAGCGTTTGATTGACTTCAAGGCTATAAATTCATCAGTGGTTACAATTCTGTTGGCGTAGTAAAGGAAGGGACATATGTATATTGAAGAAAGGCCTACAATCGGAGCAGATTAAGTGAGAAAAGAGGAAACGTGACACAATTCCTGAAATGGTTACATACTGGCAGCGATTCGAATTCTTAAGCAGGTTTTTTTTTTTGCAGTTAAGCACTTGTTTTGTTGTTGGATTAAGCCTGTTGGGCAAATAATTCAAATTTCTGTCATCTTTGTTGTCCAACAAGGACTAAACAACCTAATCACTCAAAAAACTTAAAATAAAAATAAAATTTTTTCGCTTTTAAATTGTATTTTTCAAAAAATATTTAGGTTGAAAATCGACAATTAGTACTAATTTGAATAATCTGCTGAAATGACTTGACTTCATAAAGTTTTGATTTGTGTGCCAATTATTTGTCTGCTCAGTCTGCTGATCTAATTCGAACTGTTGCTCCAATTGCTTTGAATTTATGACCCTTAATATGTATGTTATTCCCATATTGATTAGAATCCCATCCATGCCTCACACATCAATTAGCGATAACATCGCATTGTTATTATTTATGCTCGTTCTATGGAAATATCAATTCTTTTGACATTGATGAAATAAATTTATGATCGCGCGCTTTGGGCTTTCACTGCCAGACGATTTATGATGTCTATAGCATACCGATGCAAACCAAATCAGGGCGATTTGAGTGATTACCTGTTTGTCCAATTTGAGATTTTGTTTTGGACACGCAAAGACCTCATTTCCCGCTGACATGTTCAAAAAGAAATACAAGCAGTGTCGCATACCCATCAAGTGAAGTCTGAAATAGTATATATTTGATAAGACCCGTTCGTATTCGTCATTTGTATAGAACGAGCCGTAAGCTACCATATCATAAATAAGAAAATAAATATGACATTGATTTTTATGCAGCCTGAAGTCAACTAAAAACGAAAAAGCACTATTTTAACTTGTATTAAAAAATGCTGAATGTAAGAGCTGGAATACTAATATTCAAAGTTTACATTTAAAAATATTTTTAAATAGATTATATAAAAATAAAAAGTTAAATAAAAATAAGACATTGATTTTAATTGAGCCTGAAGTCAATTAAAAACGACAAGGCCCTATGTGAATTTTTAATAGAAAATGTTGAATTATAGGGCTCTAGTATACAAACATTTAATGTTTTGATTTAAAAATATTTTTAAATAGATTATAGAAAAATAAACAGTTGAATAAAAACAAGACATTGATTTGTATGCAGCCTGAAGTCAATTGAAAACGAGAAAGTCCCAATTGAAAATGCTAAATTAAAATATTCAAAGTTTAAGTTTTAGTTTAGATTTAAAAGTATTTTTAGGTAGATTATAGAAAAATAGACAGTTAAAGTTCGAAGGGTAAGGGCAGAAATCAATCCACTTAATAACAGCTACAAAAGTGTTGAAACTAGAGTAGCATTAATTGTTACTTATTCAATATTCATATCGAGCAGATCTAGGCTATTCTATAACTTTAACCACACCATTCATAATCTTAAATACACTTTCACGATTTTGCAGTAATTTTTTTTTTTTTTTTTTTGATTTTGTAAATTATTGCAAAGAAGTTCCAACTGATATTTTTATAAAAAGAATGAATTAATCGTTTGGAAAACCTTCTGCTATACTTGCCATACTGTTTTATTTGCATTTATGTATTGTTTGAGCTCATCCGATATTTATAGTTGGCATAGAATTATTAGTTGTATATAATTTTTTTCTGTCTATCTATTTTGTTGTCAAAAACCGTGCGAATTATTAAATGCAACATTCGTTTTTAAATTGAAAATTTTATTTCGCCTACTAATATTGACTTCCGCATCCGCTCAAAAGTCCAAAGTATGTTTCCTGTTCTTTTTATTTCTCTCACAATTTTGTTGTGTTTTATGTTTGGCGCCAGAGTCGAGACCACCACCACTCTCTCTCCCCACGCCATTCCACGCACCGCTGGCCAACAAGCCATGAAATTTGTTATCGTCGCATTTACAAAAACAAAAAATCAATTTTCCATGAAATGCAACAACAAATGGACAAACAAGTCGACGGAGAAAAAAGTTTTACAAATCAGACAAATAAATTTACAAATAAATACGCATACGCGGAATATTTGACAGTTATTAATTAAAAATGGGAAAATTTATATTAATTTTATTCAAATTGTCAACAGCAACAAAGGAAGCTAATGCCAATTTATTTTATTTGTCTCCCCCCTCTTCCAGCCGCTGCCACTGTCATTTCGTCCTTTTTTTGTTTTGTTGGTGCAGATAAAATTTTATTCGCAAACATGTGAAATATGTATCCACGATATCGAAAAACTCAATAATTTTCTAGCGCTCTTCCCCCAAGCTACACAATGCAGATAAGATTAGGGATACATAACTAATAATGGATCCGTCAAAATATGTCTTTAGCTACCAACTTATAAATTTGCGATTGTTGCTTACAGTATTTAACGAATTTTAAGACCGATTTCAACTTGAGTATTAATAATAAACAAATCACTTTCCCCCTTTCCGCTAATGTTTCGAAGCTAGTTTTTTTTCTAATCACTTGAAACTTATTTATTCCTATCGCTTCTGAACAAGGTCTCTATATAATTAAAAAATATTTGATAATCATATTTTATTTATTTATTTTTATTTATTTATTTATTTATTATTATGATTTATTTTATTTATTTATATTTTTTTATTTTTATTTTATTTATTTTTATTGTATTTATATTCATTTTATTTTTTTTTTTTATTTTTATTCATTTTGTTTATTTTTATTTTATTTATATTCACTTTATTTTTCACAATTTATTTTCTTAATTGCAATAAATTTCATTCATATATAGATATTATTAAGAACAAAAAGCTTTTAAAAACATAGCGTATTCACAATTCGTATAACATTTTTAACGATTGTATTATATTTATATTTCTTTTGTTTCTTTTCAGCAGTGCTTCTTCGTCATCTTAAGCCTAACAACAACGACAATAAGACAGGGTAAGTAAATGTTAAACTGTTAACTAATTAAGAGATTTATTGAGATAATTATGATAATATTATTTAAATGAATTTATAATTAAATTTTGTGAAAAACTCTCCAAGACATATTAAAAGTTACCAAGAGAACTTATCATGGAATTCAGAGCTAGGAGATGTCAAGGAGTTATAAATGTTATTATATTTCTTCTATTATTCTGAATTTAAGCCAAATGTTGTTGATGAATTGAAAGACGAGTCTTTAGATTCGATGGCACAGTCAATCGGCAAACCAAGTTCATTCGACAGTTGTTATGGTTGGTCGGGTTTTGTAAAGACGAGGAATATTTCCACCTGAGTTCCCTCAAATACGCATTAAAAAATAGCGAAAATTCGCTTTGGGGTGGTTTTATGTCTTTTTTATGTTTCCATTGTATTTTTTTAGTCAGATAATATTTTTAAAAAAATTTCAGCATAACCCCTGTAATCGGCAAAATGGAACGCCTACAGAAATAGCGTTTGATTTTATGCAAAACAGGATTGCTGCTAATGCCCTTTACTTTTTATATATTCATTTGAGGATGGTTTTCTAATGTATTTAATATTTTACAAATTTATTTAAATGTGTTCAAACATAAAATCTTCTTAACTTTCCACATCTTCTTCGTCTGCTTTTTAAATACAAACACCTTCTTGCCAAAACAAAGACATAGTATATTAGCGCAATACATTCCAGTCCCAATGCTAAGTAACTGAGAAAATTGGCCAGCAAGTATAGTGGGAAAAATTTATCGCTTAAAAGTTTTTCGCAGCCCCTGGTAATCAGAGAGCCTGCGAGATCAGACTGATTGGTATAGCAGGTAGGGTGAACCTTGCGCATGTATTCCAGATATGTTGCGGGACCCTCAAGACCACAGCACTTGAGCTGCATATATATGCTATATATATTATATACTATAAGACCATATATACGACTATTTGATAAATCACCTTGACTTGTATGTCAATCCAAACCGTCTCGTTTTGCTCGGTAAATTTCCACCAGGCTGTGTTCAGGAACTCGGTTGTATTTCTCAACGAGATCTGTGGCACTAGTTGGTTAAAGAATATGTGTTTCGTCCATTTGAATGCATATATTAAAAGAGGAATATACTGAGAGGAGGGCGTAAATAAATAAAGGTGCTTATGCAATCCTGACATACCAGAACAGTAATCCATTCCGTAGTCAAGGAAAATACACAAATGCTCACAAGGAGCAGTTCTACAATAATAACGATCCAACTCGTTAAAACTATATAGACCCCAATCACGGTTTCTCTCAGAGTCTGGAATACATATTCCTTTTCTAGAGCCCTTATGCTTGGTAATAATATAACCAGTGTCAGAACAAGTACCAGCTAGAAAGTAACGCGCTTTTTAGTTACATTTTGGAAAATAGGTAGCCAGCCAGCTTCGTTGCTTACCGCGATTGTCCAAATGAACGTGTAGTAACAAGTTACTGGAATATTGCGACTCATAATACTTAGTAATGTTCTACGTCCGGTATTTGATGTTTGTAGCAAAGCCACACAGATTGATTTTTAATTGTGGATACCCAATAAATTGGCCAGTGTTCGGCAATAATGGGAAGTTTCCAAATTGTTTTAAAAGTCACAGAATAGAAAAATAGCGTTTTTAGAAATTGATTATGCGAGAACGATTATTGAATTGGACATCATATTGCTTCAAAATTTTATTAATCCCATGCTTAGACGTATTTAAAGGGTGTTAAATAAAAAAGGAGGCCCAATTTAAATAAATATGTTAGCTTGAAGCCTTTTAGACTTGTCTATCAAATGGACACTTTGTAACTTATAACGATTGAAAGAATTTTTTAAGGTTTTTTTTATTATTATTAGGGGCATTATTTTGACTTGACTCAGTGATTAAGGGAATATACAAATTTTGTCCTTAATCCTTAAGAAAAAGTTAAAATTACAGGTTAAGTATAATCATTATTATAAATAATGATTATGAGTTAATTCTTAAAGTAACACTCAAATATAATTATTACATTTTTAGCAAATGAATGAAAATTAAAAAATAATCATCATTATTTTGTATTTTTTTAATAACACTTATAATGATTAAGGTCCCTGATTATTATATTAATTGAATTCCTATTATAATTTAATTAACGACAAAAAGTAAAATGTTTACTTTGGGTTGCAAATAAATAGTTTTGCTGTCATATTTACTTATTTCGGGCATATTTACTTATACGTGTACATACTTTTGTATTCCGGTCAGCCACGTTTTAACTGCGTGTATACATATATACATATTTTTTATCAGCAGAGTGTTATTTAAAACTGTCCATCGTGGACAACCATTAAATTTGTTTAACTGCACATGTACATACATACATAAATTTCTTCTTTGATTTAATATTTTCTCTCTCTCTTTGTTGTCAAACATTTACACATCAGTGTGCAGGCATTTGCAAGAGATTTAGATTTTTTAATTAAAATAAAAGCTTAATAAGTTGAAGGTGTGATGGTTCAGAAGTTTTGTCACTTCACATACTATTGCCATTAGCAAGTGGACTAAGCTTGGGTCAAGGTTAAGTTACGCCCATTGTGATGACACATAAGCTCTTTGATTTTCGACCACCCGGAGCTGCTAATAAACCCAACTTTTTCTGGGATCTGCAGAAAGTAGCTGCTCCACGCTTTCCTCCTCTGCTCTTCTTTTAGTTTTAGAAATGCTGAGGGGTCTTTTAATGTTAAGAAAACGCCTTGGCTTATATTTTTCCAACGCTTTAGCAGCCTGAAGGATAATTCGAGTTTTCTGTGTTGTTATAAGTCGGGCTTCGGCCTTCAATAGTTGGGGATTGGTGTTGAAGGGTCTCGCTTGTATCGCTTCAACTTCAGCCTGACATTCATCAAAGCAAACTGACCTAGTTTTTTCGCATTCTGTTCTCTTTATTGGAATACTACTAGCAGCTTTCTTTATGCAATTATGCTAAGACAGCTTTGTGGGAACAACCTTTGTCTACTTATTAAAAGATTTAACTGTAAATCAACATTTCTACTGCCAATCTGCCAGATAGTTAAGCTTTTAGAAGAATTCTCCACAGAAGAACCCACGGGTTTTATTTCCGACCTATGCGCTAACTAGGTTGAGTTATACAAAAATATATTGAAAAGTATATAATATTTTTAAGCACATACATTCTATATACTTGCATGCTTGCGGCGAACACATTTAATAATTTATATATGTATATGTATGTAAATGCAACACTATTTTTGTTTTTGTTTATCTGTTCTTTTTGTATACAAATTTCCATTGTTGATTTATGGGATTTGCTATTTTTGACAGTTGTTGCTGGTATTGTTGTTTTGTCAGAGCTGTTTCTATTTTATTACAAATATCCATGCATACATATGTACATTCATGTGTTTGTGTGTGTGTGTGTGTGTGTTTGTGTGACCACTATTTTATAATCGGCTTTCTATATTAATTTAAATTTTATTTTGGGCATTTTATTATAATTACTCTTGATATATGTAAATGGTAATCGTTAGCATCGCATTGTAATTGTTGTTGCATTGCTTTACATTCATTGCAGTTGATGTTCGTTTATATGCCTATGTATGTGTGTCTGTGTGTGTGTGTGTGTAGGATCTGTTCGCCCTTCCCTGCCATTATGTTTTGTTATACTTTTTGTGCTTGCGGCATTTCATTCTGAAACCCATTCCAGTATTCCAGAACTTATAGCGGTTTTGGGCTGCTTTCATTACTATATACAAGTATGTATATATATTTCCATTGAAAAAAATTAATACTCAATGCGCAGAAACAAAAACGAGTCCATTGCAAAAAAAAACTGTAATATTTTGTCTAAATATTTATAATATTTTAATGCTAATTTCCACAAATTCAAATGCATGTGCTAATGTGTGCGTGTGTATTTATTTATCAGATACTATCTAAGCACTTTGTATGCGGATTTTCGCATCTGTTGTTGATATTTTAATTTTACTGTCACATTCGATCATAAATTTAGCGATTAAGGCATACTTCGTTGAAATCTATGCAGGCCTACTATATTCTACATTGCGCTATATAGAGCGTAGAGCTCCAAAAATAGAATCGCCTTTTGAGTTTTCTACACTTAGCCACTGGACATTGGTTCGATTATTTGAGTAAAATTCTAAAATATTGTTTTCTTATCGAATCAAGCTTATGAACAAGTAGCTTGTCAAAAACTTCCTCTCAAAACTTCGCTCCTTTTTAGGCCTTTTTTCAAGTTTTTGTTTGAAATAAAATGCGATTCAAATAACTCTTGAAATTCGTTCCTTATGGATGCAAAAACGAGCCCTAAGTGGAGTAACCCATTAATATTTTGAATAAGTATGTAAATCGAAGCGGGTCTGAACGAATTAAATTGGCCGTAACTTATCGGTGATAACTTCCTCATATCATTTGTCTGATCTTTGTTCATCATAATCAGAAACTTGAAATGAGCTTTTCTGCCCAAAATACTTGTTCTATATGAGCTCAATAAAGATGCAGCCAGCTATATTTGGAGAAACGGTAACACATTTTATGCTAATTGAAGCCGATGTCAATAATGATTATAAGCCTGCCTGATGATGATGATGTTATTGTTGATGAAACGAACGAATATGATGGCAGCTGTCAGTGTCAGTGTCAGTGAATATTTGTAAGCATTTTTTGCGACTTTGCGATGATTCGAAGTTATGCAAATGAGCAGGCAATTAGTAAAAACAAACAAGTATTTTGCATGACTAATTTAAAATACGCCTCCAATTAAAGTTCTCTTTTTAAGAGTGTGCATATTGTTTATTAAGATTTTAAGTTGAAATTAAAAAAAAAAACACACACTTTTTAAGAAGAAATTTTAGTTTATATAAAAGAAATGAAAATGAAATCTTCATTTGGGTCTTGCAACAAAACTTGACTCCTCCATAATCATGGGCCCCGGTCTATATAGTTTTTCCTATCTATAATTAGCAATAATTTCTTTTTTATTTTGCATTTGCCCAAATTATGTTTAACCTGATGGAACAAATTATCAAAAAAAAAAATCTTCACCAGTATATACTCTGCACAGGGTCTTAACACAACATTTTATTCCTGCTATATTGGTATAATATTCCTTTAAAGATTTGTCAGAAGTTGGTATCCTTTATGTCTGCAGGAATCGAAAAGATCATTAAGAATAATGTCGGATATTCAGTGTATTAAGTGTGCTCTAATCAATTCAGTATATACTATAAATTTCAACATTTTTTCCAATTTTTTTTGACACACCTATTACTCTGTCCAACCGAAATATTTGTATTTTATGAATTAAGGATTTTTTAATAGTTGGTAAAGCGGTTTATTATTTGTTTTGTAGCTGAATTATGTTTATTTTAAAAAACTAACTGATTTTTTGAAAAAAAAAATAAAATACTTACGAAAGGCAAGCTTTTTTGAAAAAGAATGTTCTCACACCTACTTGTATTATTCTATCCAGGTGTTTTATATTTATTTATATGAATACTGTCTGTATACTTTTTCTTATCTACCATTAGCAGTAATTTCTTAGTTATTTTGCATTTGACCAAATTGTGTCTACCATGATAAACAAATTAAATGATCATACATACGGGTATACTCTAAACTGGATCTTAACACATGATCATATCATTAGAATGAATTTCTTAACTATTTCGCATTTGCCCATCCATGGTCCCATTCCCTGGCTATGACTGACACACCTATCAGTGAAGAGTACAAATAAGCGATTGGATAGTGTATTTAATAGTCCCCAAGACCAGCGAACAGGACATCCTCCACTTGCTTTACAGCAGAAGGAGAGCAATCGGATGAACATTTACGAGGCTTTCGTCAAATTTACGATCCCCACCAACGCTCAAGCCGGCGCATAAAAATGTCACTTTATGGAGGATGATGCGTGACTGACGCCGCTTTGTCGATGTCGTTGACGCACCTCTTTCGATCGCCGGCCTGGCCTGGTCTGGTCTGGCCAGCCAGCACTTAATGTGCTCCAAAAATAAAAAAAAAATAAAAGCCAGCTGTCCAGGAGGCGCGCTCATCATTACGATTATCGCATTGAAATTTATTTTGCATAAATCTGCCAGCAATGACAAAAAGCTGGCGAATGGCCTCCACAATTTTGGGTGTGTTCCGACTGACTGACGTCTGATGCTGGACACAGGTGCTGCTGC